AAAAAGTCTCGTTCTTACTATTGTGTCAAAAAATATTTGTCATTCTTACTAGAATTATACAAAGAAGCTACCTTTTTCTTTGAAGTTCATTGTCATTATTAAAACCTATTTTGTAATGTGCTCTCAAAAAATAATTTCTTATTAAAAAATACAAAACAAATAATTATTATCGAAAACTATATAGAAAAAAAGAATCTTGATTGACTGATAAATTCAATTGTTAGAATTTTTCTCTCTTCTATAAAAAAATCAAGGTATTTTGTTGCAAACTCATGTAATGTATTCGTGATACAGGTTAACGAGTTGCTTTCTAAAGGAGTTGATGTTACTATATACAATGGACAAGTAAGTCTTTCTACCCTAATCTATATTTCGAGTTGATAGTAAGTGTATACTTATGAATCTAATTATTTTAAAAGTTTTAGTCTTTTATGTATGAAGTATAATAAAAAAAATAAAAAATAAATAAAAAAAGCAACCTAGTAATATGAAGTATAGGACGTAGTATTTAAAATCAATCAAACAATCAATCAAAACTTTAATCTCATAAGTGGAGTCGGCTATATGAACCAAAAGTGATTATTACATGTACCCATCGACAAAAATCTTCCTCCTCCATCCCTTACGATCTAATGCCTCATTCTCATCCAACTCTATATACTTCATATCCTTTCTAATTCCTTCCAACTAAGTCAATTTCGGTCTGCTCTCCCGGCCCTCATTTAACCCCTCTATGGTCCCACTCTTCCACTCTTCGTACTGGTGCATCATCCGGTTTCCGTCTTACATGCCCAAACCAACGCAGACGATTTCCTCTTAGTTTGTCTGCAATGCCTGTCACACCTACTTACTTGCGAAGTATAGAATGTAGTATTTAAAATGTTATCGATAAATATTAGTTTTATAATAATGGGAAAGAAACTTCTAACCCGGAGGTTGGGAGTTTAATCCTTGCACTTCACAGGTGGGAATCTGTTTGTCCTTATGTTTAACCCGCTAAGGCATTGATATTGTGATAAAAAAAAAAGGTTTGATTTTCAATCAACTAAACTAATTGACATTATCCACCTAAAAATCTAAATATAAGATACTTTTTAACTGGGAGCTCAATCTTTTTTTTTTTTTTTTTTTTTTTTCGGGATAAGATATAAGTACAATACACAGTACAAACCGGCGTGGGAGATTGAAGCTGCAACTTTATATAATGATTGTTGAAGCAAATGTTTTCATATTGGCCCTAAGTTTTTTGTTTTATCATGTTGGTTTTCCTCAATTTGTTGATTAGGTTAGTTGACCATTAATACAGTAACCACTTTGGCTCAATATCACCATACTTTATTATGTCATCCACGTCAACTGAATTCTTGATTCCATTCTTTTAAAGTAGTGTCCACCTTATCTAGCCATGCCGTTACGTTTACGCCGTGTATACCATACGGTGTCATTTGATAAATATATATTGCATTAATATCAATAAGATTGTCTTAGTTTATTAGGTTTCAAAAATTAAGCAACATTTAAATAATATGCTTGATTATGTTTATTTAAAACAGTGCATTAAGGGTAATTCAGGTTTGTAGAGGCGTATGTACCATGTGCATTGTACATACATTTCATTAAAGAAATAAAAAATAACATATTATAAAAATGTAATAAACATATAGTTATAGTAAAATGAACATATTATTAAAATGTAATGAACATATACCTAGAGTGAAAAGAACATACTGTTAAATAATGTTTGGTACATACGCCTCTACCATAAAAATTTCACATTAGGGGGGCATTGGGTTCACAAAGTAAGACCATGTTCATTTGAGCTACTCTGCTCTGCTGACACCTGTTTTGCTGAAATTTGCTCTGCTCTTCTTGCCAAGAAGCTCAAAAGAACAGGGCGTAAAAAGGGAATGACATAAAAAATTTGCATAAACTAGATACAACCAGCTGTGTCACCTAATAATTTATAAACTACATGTAATTCTAGCTACAATCTCTCCATTAGATAGCAATATGCTTTTATAATTTTTTGCACAACTAATAAATACTTCTGGGGTAGTACATGGGACCTTCATTGATAAGATCCCAAGTTCTTCTAAATATTACCCAATATCTTGAAAAATACACCGTACATACGAAGTCACTTGAATTGTGTAAAATGTGATCGTGAGCTTTATTAGTTACATAAAGGGTTTCATGAGCTCGTATTCAATTTTTAAGATAAATGCCGCTAGTTGGTAATTAGGGTTGATTGTAAACATTCTCTCGTTCTTTTATTGTTTCTCTCATTTAATTAAGCTATATGTACATTGTATAACAACAGGTACTTTTATTAAAAAGATAAAATGCGTACTATTTGCTTAATATAATTATCTAAATAAGCGAATAATAATTAATATTTTTTTTTTTCATTTTGTATGATTAGCTTGATGTCATTTGTGCAACCAAAGGAACTGAAGCATGGGTGGAGAAGCTGAAGTAAGTCCATCATCAAAGACTCACTAATTTTTGGCAAATAAATTCTCTACACGGAATTTATTTTAAAAAAAATTATATAAATTGAATCACCTAATTTAGTAAATTAAGAAAATTATATTGTTAAATTTTTTATAATGAAGTTAATGAAATGTGATAAATTTTCAGGTGGGAAGGTCTAAAGAGTTTCCTAAGTGAGAGTAGGACACCCCTATACTGTGACAGTGAAGCAGGAACAAAGGGGTTTTACAGGTCATACAAGAATTTGCATTTCTATTGGATTCTTGGAGCTGGACACTTTGTAAGTTTCTTAATTTATTTTTTCTCTTTTACAACTTTATATATTGAATAATTTCTTGAATCATTCTTATCATCATACATCATCATTATGGCTAATGAATAATTTCATGCCATCATCATTATTTATCTCATGGTCATGGGACCCTACCCAGCTGTTTGTATCATTTGTTTTAGAAATGTTACATGAAGCCATCATGAGTAACATCATTGGTAACGAGCAAGTACGGCTAATTGTCTAACAGATAAACATATTGGATGGAGTATGATTGTCTTATGATTAAGCAACTAATAGATCGTAATATGGAAAATAAGCTGAACTTTAAGTAAAGTAATAATTTGCTTAACAAAGATATTGATGACAATTTATCCATTTTAGCCCCTTTTTTTCCTAGTGATTTACCCTTGTCATCTTCATATGTTTTTTTTTTTAATATAACTAATTTTACAGTACTATTTTTCCTGATTCCGACAAATTGTTACCAAAGTTTTCCTTTTAAAAAATCAAAGACAATACTAGCATCCCACTAGTAAAATAGTCAAATAGATCGACCTCATTATCAATAACATGATCATGTCTACACAATTGGTTGGATCAATTTTGATCAGTTATGCACTTACCCCAATCCAAAAATAGGAAGGGCTTCCAAAAATCACTAAAATCAAAAGGAATAAGTGATTTCCAGCCAAGATTACCAATACTGATTGAGTAGTGGGATACTAATTTTAGCTCTAATTTTTTATAAATTCTGTTTCTGAAAACATCCTAACTTAGGCGAATCTTGATTTACATTAATAAACACCGGTGTCCGAATCACCTTAGGGCAGTTCCATTTCTATACACATAACAAGCTGACCCAATCATTTATTACATGAAGTAACTGATATGGAAGTCAGGAAAAAAGACTGTTGGCTGACTAGCAGAGGTTTTCTCCAAACAGAAAGTCAACTGACCGCTGAACAAAACCAGTGTATTATCATCTCAGTTTCGGCCTGTTCGACAAAAGTAGTTGTGACTGTAAGGGTTCGCTGTTAGCTGTACAACTAATTATTACTAGTGAAGTTAAAATTTTAAAGTATGAGTGTACGGTAAAATAACAGTTGAGTACGAGTATTTTTAAAATTTTGTCGCAAATTCATTAATCCATTTTACTTTATGATATTTATTAATCAGGTACCTTTGGAGCAGCCATGTATTGCATTAAAAATGGTGGGTAACATTACGCAGTCTCCTGCTACATAAAAGACGCATCAGATAGAAAGAAGATGATAAAATTACAGGGTGTGGTCAATGAATAACTGCGCACACATTAAATGTGTGCGAGTGAAAAAGGGTAAATGTTAGGAATTTAATGTACAGATGGTTGATCAGTCAACAATCAACAGATGAGTAAAAGAGAATTTTATAGAGAAAGAGAGGTTTTATTTTCGTGAAAAAGCTGATTGATTGCAACTTTTCAATTGTTAAAAAAAAAAAAAACTGTGTTCTTGCGGGTAATGTAGGAAAGGGAAAAAAGAAGGAAACAGGCAATTAGTTTCAACTGAACTATATATGATTATTTTAGGCTATTTTACTTTGATTGTTAATTTTGTCTTTAGTAGCTATGTCCGACAATCGACACCCTGACATGGGTATGGAATCCTTACTTGACGCATTAATGCTCAACTAGACACTTCAACTATCTTAAACATAAAATCGTAGAAAATATTTACAAGCAAAAGGAATGAAAGAAATATGCGCTATATGAGCTCACAAATCGGCACCAGATCGCATTTCAACAACCTAAAATGTGTGTATTTGCACATTAAAGCTCAATTATAACAACCTTCCAGAAACAAAAATATATGTTCCATTATGAGTCCATATCAGCGCATAGCGTCTATGGATGAAGAAAGCAAATAGGAGGGTAGTAGTGTAATTTACCAAGCTTAAGAAATGCAAAAGTGTAGGGCTGACTTACCAAATACCGTTATAATCTAAAATGTAACGGGATGGCTTTCTTTTGAATACGAAAAGGTTATTTTTCATAAACTAACAGCAAAGCATTCTCTCTCCTCGTTTCTCTTGTTCGCTCCTCCCTGTAGTTATTGTACTCTGTTCCAACGAAGAGATTACGACGGTGGTTGCTGCCGGAGCTAGAAAAGAATTTTGGTGCGTGGTAATCGTGAGTAGTTGCGTGAATTGTGTACCGGCAATCGTTGGTTCCTTTGATTGAAGGTATGGTCTCGAAACCGACTGTAACAACTTTGCTATCGCATTTGTTGGTTATTAAGAAATTTAAAAAGCAGTTGTAAATTGTTTGTTGTGTTTTAGTTTTTGTAATTTAGGGTTTCCAGTGAATTTAGCGATTTAGGGTTACCTGTATTGTTCATTTGTTTAATTGGGAAAAATTTTAGTGGGCGTGGTTCTAAAACCCTTAATTGGAATGAATTTGTTGTTATGATGTTTTAGTTTATGTGATTTACGGTTATCCAGTGAAAATAGCGAATTAGGGTTTCCTTTGTTGTTCATTTTTATAATTGGGATTAATTTGAGGATGTGAAACCCGTAATTGGAATGAATTTGTTGTTATGATGAAGATAATGTAATGCGTTATTAACCACTGAAATTTGCGACCCTTTGTTGTTTAATTGTAATGAACAAGCGAAATTGTTTTGGGTGTGGTGGTAGGAGTGTTGAATTAAAGTATTTAATTTAATTTGAATCCATGTAAATGAGTAATTAATTTTGAGTGGTTTGTGGTGGAAAACGTATTGAATTATGAATAAGTGATATTGTTACATTAAGAAATTATGACTGTTGTGGTATGTATATGTGAATATAGTGGAGAAATTATATGTGAAGAGTTAAGGGTTTGTTGAAATGGTTTTATGTAGTTGGGAAATCCCATTTATCGAGCGTTCATTTAAACTTGGCTGGAGGAAATAATGCCGAGGAAGAGCAAGCGATCAGGATTGGTGAGTTATTATTTGTTGAAATTAAAAGATTGTGTGTTTTCTTAGTGATGGTTATGTGTTGTAGTTGATTTTTGCTGGCAAATATTTGTGTTTGTGTAGGCGCGGTCGAAAATCGTGAATGAGGAGGCGCCTAAAAAGAAAGTAGCTAGTAAAGGGAAGAAGAAACTGAAATCTAATCCAGTTTTTGAGGAAGAGTATTTAAAGGACTCTGATGAAGCTAGTTCTGATGATGGTGGTTATGATGAATCTGGTGGTGATGAATCTGGTTATGATGATGCTGATTCCACATATGGTGATTATGAGGTAGATGAGGATGTGGAGGACGACGGTGAAGGTAGTGAGGAAGGATCTGAATAGGACAAAGTGAGCTACCAGGATCTCCTAATCAAGTTATTGCGGGAAAAGGTTGAGAAAGGGAAGCGCAATCGAGGTCATATTGAGAAAAATACAGGGAAAAAGGGGCAAGCTAAAGGTATGTCATGTTAGATGCAAATGATAAAAGCTTATTTGTTGTGTAATACTTGGATGGAGAAATGAAATGTGTAATGTCATGTGTAGGTCGAGAAGACGAAGGGAGAAGTGGCGAAGGAGAAAGGGGTTGTCGTTAAAACCCAATCAAGAAGTACGCAGAAGGTACTCTCTGAACATTATTTGAAATCCATGACATGGAAATGTTTGTTGGGATTTCTGTGGTTGGGCCTTTGTTTAGGTAGTTGGGAAAATAAACTGAATTACTAAAGATTAATTGTAAATTGTACTTGAGTTGTAAGTTAAGTATGAATATTGTGAGTCCTTAATTGGATGTGCAAGATTAAAATTCCTTATAAAATATTCACAAGTAATTTTAATGGGATCGTATAATTAGTGTCTCTTTAGATGGTTTATATGGAAGGACAGTTGCTGTAATTTGTTGTAATTTAGTTGGAAATGTGAAAAATTGAGGTAACCTAGAAAGGAATTAATTAGAACTGAAGAATTTGAGTAACCTAGATGGAATTTGTTTGCTGGTGTCATTTGATTAAAGTTTGTCTTGTTTGAATGTAATGTTGTAGGCCCCAAATTTGCATGGTGTGAAGGCTTTTGCAACTACAATGAAGAAGTTTGATGACTCTAGGGAGAAGCTGGTCACAAAATTGGGTTTTGGAGGGTTGTTAAGTATACCCCTAACTTTTGTACCCCGGAAGTTTGTGTACTGGTTGTTGACAAGGGTGATGGGTTATGGTTCGATAACTTTTGGAGATGAGTGTGTGCTTCCTTTGAGTCCTCTTCAGGTCGAGTACGTACTTGGGATTCCCATGGGGTCGAAGGCATTGTCGTGTACGATTCCTAAGGATAAGCAGGCAGAGCATAGTAGAATTTTGGAAAAGTTTGGGAAAAATGATAGCATTTCATTAGTAGCTGCTTTGGGGGCACTAATTCGAAAGGATGAGGAAGGTAATGTGTTGTCACTGTCGAATGAAGAGAAGGCTGATTTCAAGATAGCCTTTCTCATAGCAGCTCTGGGCTACTTATTGTGTGCTACGGAAAATACAAGCTATCTTGGGGTGAAGCTTGTACCGTCGTAATTGGTTTACGATGAAGATGATGAGTATGACTGGTGCACTTATATATTTAACTGGATGGTTGTAGCAGCCAGGAGTTTCCAAAAGAAATTTGCTCGTGATGGATATGTTGCAGGTTCTGGGGGTTGTATCCTTTTTTTGTTGGTGAGTAAAATTGGGTATTTACCACCGTACACCAAATGCTTTTTGAGTAATTTTATTATATTTTGCAGTCTTATCATTTGTAATGGTTAGTTGAACTAAATCATCCATCCAGTGCATTTTTGTAGATTTTTTTTATCTAGATCACCTCAGTCGTGTCCCAATGAGGTGGGGTGTGAGACCGCGACTTGAGGCATGGTCTGAAGAAAAGATCAATGAGGCGGTTGGCGATGATAAAAAAGAATCTGGGGATTTTGGAAAACTGCCAGTTAGTATTAGTTTGACTTTCATTTGATGTGAATACTATTGAAGCTGTTGTGTTTGATTCTTCTGCAGTCTCCAGATATAGCATATGGGGAGGAGCATCCGTTGACTCCTTTGGAGGTTCCAAAGCAAAGGGTGGAAAGAGTTGACATGCAACAGACTACGCAGGAGGTAGACGTGGAAAATATTACGCGGCAGGTATAATGCAAGTTAATGATAGTTTTAGATGTAGCTTTGTATTTTATAAAATAAGTGATGTCCTATGCCAGTTGTTAATAGTTTGTATTTATGTTTTCCTGAAGGTGTTGGATAGAATTACTCCAGAGCTGATGTCTGTGATAGACTTAAAATTAGGTGACATTATGAAATCAATGCATCAGTTGATGTCACAGTGTGTTGACGTAGCTAATGCCCAGAGAGTGATTAGGGGGAAGCCAATGGAGAGGGGTAAGCCAATGGAGAAGGAAGTTGTTGTGCATGAGAACTTGTCTGGTGAAAAAGCATGATGCTTTGAATGGTGCTAATCAGGATTTGGCCAGTTGTTTGTTGGAGAAGGAACAACTGGAACAAGGTGGGGAAGGACTTGGTGAAGATCCTTCTACTGATACAGTTTCAGTTGAAGATAACTTGGAATTTTTAGTTCAAAAGATTGCGGCTGATCCACTATTTGCAGAGGATGGAGTGAGGTCAAGGTGGTTGGGGATGAATCCAAGGTGGATGGGGTTGTCGATGAAGGTGTTGTCCCAGAGTTCCATAGCTGTTCTGATACTGAAGTGGAAGATGAGAACATTGAGCCTGGACCTCAAATAGTTGTGGGCTTGGTTGGGACGAGGGAAATTACTGTGTTTATTGATGCTGAGTGCAGTTTGGCAAATTCATCTTCATCTGATGAGGAAGATGAGTCTACTGGGAAGGGGGACGGAATTGCGGATAAGAGGGTGGTAAAACCTACAGAGGCGACCTTGTCAGCCATGTTCACCAATGTGTCAAAAACCCGACGTTGTACAACGCTCGAGGCACGTTTGCTGCAGTTTGTAAAGCACTGGAAGGACCTGAAGGATCCACTTAGGTAATTCAGAAACGTTTAATTAAGTGAAAAGTCTGTTGTGTGCATGCCTTTTGTAAATTTTTGGTTTTAATTGTAAATTCTAATATGTTTATGTGTATACTTGGTGTTATGTTGTTGCTTCATAGCCCTGGTATTGTGTTGATAAAGTGTGGCCACATGGAAGCCAACTAAAGGGATTTCTTTGAAGTAGTGCACCATAAATCGCGGGTTTCTACTAATTATGTTAGAATGGCCGGTGTGCTAAACACCAAGCAATGGGCCACCAAAGACTTTGTGAACAAAAGCAAGCGTATTTTGCTTGACCCGAGCTTTTCGGTAAGTGGTTCTTGGTTCATTTCAGCTTTGATGTGTGATATTTACGTGCACAGTTAATGATCATGCTTGTTATTTTTTTTTGTTTGGATCGTAGAATTGACTATTGTTGAACGAAGGAAAAGAAGAACATATTGGTAACAAGTATGGCAAATTTCTTCTGAGCTTTAAGCTATCGCAAATTCGAGCGGTCAGCTTCTTACTCTCATAGTTCAATACTCTAGGTTTAAATGTGTTTCATGTATGTACTCTAAATTGTGCTTATGGCATTGACATTGTCATTTTATCAGGTCTTTGTTCTAGTGCTTGAAGTTCCTAAGGATTCCCCTAACGAGTCGCACTGGTGGTGCTTAGCATTAGACATGAAGGCTCGACAGTTGTGGATGATAGATTCTATGTACCCTGACTCGTTCACCACGCATGCCAAAGAGTTTGATCTTCTGGTACTAATACTTATGCCTTTCATTCTAAACAAACATGGTATTTACTGGGACCCATTTGGTTATGTGTAATGTGTTTGTCAAACTACAGGTTAGTGGTATCGACGTCCTTTTGCAACTCTGTGACCCAGAATGGAAGACTGGTCAGCTAAATTCTTGGACGAGATGCACTTTTGAGATCTTAGAGCCAAGGGATAAGTAAGCACTTGTTTCCTTACTCTGCCAATAACTTTGAGCCTAGCTGACCATTTTAAGGTAAAAAAAACGTATGCTCAACTTCGATTTTGTTGTAAATTATTATGAAATACAAAGTCTGTCAGTCCACTTGGTAGATAGTAAATGGTGGAAATGGTAATAAATTTATATACAATTTTGAAAGAACAAACTCACTGTGGCAGTTCTCATCCTATTCTTTGCTTTTGCCATACCTCTCCAATTACTATATAAGGACATATCAACTATCTCATTATTGCTTTTTTAGATTGATTGGAACATTTTATCAAGCTCTGATTCAGAATATAATTAGCTCAGAATTTGGTTGAAAGGCTGGAAGTTGTGTTATTTATTTATGTTGATTGTGGTCCTCCAATGTGCAGCTCATACTGTGGTGTTCTTATGCTGGCATGTATTAAGTTCTTGGCCAGAAGATTCACCACGAGGTTTAGTGTGGTAAGTGGTGTATATATCTGTGTTTTGTGTTAAGATCTCTGAAGTGGTTGGCTACAGTGTATGTTCATACATTTACAGTGAAAGATTTCTAATGCTCGGGCAAATTTGTTCTTGGACGACGTGTAGTGTGAAATGAACGAGTTGAAACATGGTATGGGGGATTTGATTCCAGGTTCTAGGAAAACAACGCGAAAACTGTGATGTGTTATGTTAATGGCCTGGGCGATGGTGTAATTATTTTCTGTGGTTGAACTGTGGTGGCTGTAAGTACTGTGTATTGAGCATTTAAACACTTGGGTGTGGAGGTGGTCTGTCCACTCAGGGGTAACTATTAGGTTGCTTTGGCTGTGGAGGTGGTTTGTCCACTCATGGCTAAGTGTTTGATATGATGTCTACATTAGGTGTTTTGTTGCATTTTGCAGATTATGCAGAAATTGTGCTTTAATTACATGTTACAATCTACATGAACAGGGTAATTTAAACTCAATGTACAGTGCCATAGGTACAAAAAAACATGCCAGTGGGGTATGCTACATCTGCTACTGGTTAAATCAAAATGCCATTGGGTGGAATGGATTTCCTAATGGTACATTGCAAGTGCCACTGGTAGAATGTAAATGATATTCTTACAATTTAGTTCGCAATGGTATAGTACAAGTTCCATATGTCTTTGTAATGGTACATTATGAAGGTGTGATTTGTACCATTGATCTGTCAATGTATAATAATGCTAAGGAACGCCAATAGTAATCCAACTACAATCCATAGTTCATGCCTGCGTAACTCACTATCAGTAATAGAAAGTGTCACCCAAAAAGGGGGAGGCAAAGAAACAAAAGAGTACTGGCAAATAAGATCCCATTGGGTCATATTATTATAATACCTTTGATAGACAAGCTTAGCAATATGATTTGTCAAAATATTCAATTTTATTAAACTGTTAGACGTATTGGTTTTGGTTTAAACATTCTATGCCATACTGGCTACAATACTACCCTTCATTTATATGACAAGTTCTGGACTGATTGCCCCATATGAAAGGGTCAGTATTCTCGTACCACTAGTTTTCTAGAGGTACAATTAAACGTACAAAACGTACCACTTTGATTGTAGTTGTGCATATTGACTTCATGTACACAGCATAGGTACGTAGTATGTACACACGGTGCATATGAAAGGGTCATTATTCATGTACACAACATAGGTACGTAGTATGTACAAAGCATAGGTAGCTACCACTTTGATTAAATGTACCAACGTGATTTCAGTGGTGCGTTTTCGGAGTGTTAAATGTACCATTATCATAGTTAAGTGGTATATTCAAGGTTCACCCTATTCGTATAATTAGTAATATTGCAGTAGTCATTACAGAAAGGCAAAATAGTTAAGCATTATTTAACAAAGGCTGCAACTGGCAAATGTAATAACTTCTGAGCTAATACATGCATTAAACAGTCAAGGCATAATCAAACATAGTCATGGCATAATCAAACATAGTCTTAGGCATAAAGAAATATAATCTTAGGGAAAGGCAAATAAAACTATAGTACTAATTAAACAAAGACACAGAGCATGGAGGAGTATTTAATCCCTAGCATCTTCATCATAGGTCTTTTCCAAATTTCCAGTGGTGGTTGGAGCCGTCAAAAGCCAAAGTAGAATTGAAGTAGTGACTACTTGGCTCTGCCTCCTCGTCCGAGCTGCACGGGTCATTGTTCAATTCAACTTGTTGTGGAGGCCATGATGGTGGTGGTGGAGCCTGTAATTTCAAACAACATTTATTTCGCTAAATAACCTACATTCCAAACAATATTGTAAAACAAACAAATTACCTGGAAAACAACATCAACAAGCAATCCATTTGGCACACTCGATCTGTGCAAGAAATTGGCCCTTAGCATATTTGGTTTCCAAAAACATCATAACTCCACCAAGCCTTGACTCCGGACCACATATCTCCACTTGATATTCACCTGGGAGGTTACGAACAACCCAATTGTTCGCGTAATGTTGACCAATACGAGCTTCCAAAATGATGACCAACAGGAGGTTAAATTTTTCGTGTAGGGTGGGAAGTGCTCTCCAAAGTAGGGCCTTGTGCACCCTCGTGCGTTCCAATATAGAATGAGGGACCCACGATCGACTACAACACACTCTCGGGTAGAGACAAGATGCTCTCCTCTATAGCTAACACCGTTGTAGCGTTTACGTATGGGCAAGCAATGGTTAAGCCTCGGCTTTAGGGTACAACCTTCAACCTGGAACCTCAGGTGGATGTTGGTAGTATTGACCGTCATGATGTAGAGGGTATCCGTGAAAGAGCCAACAAATATGTGGCGCCAAACCATGGGGAAACCGTAAGCAACTACGGAGTCGGTGTTAAGATTGGGCTTCAAGTCAATTGCTTCCTCTATCTCAAGCGGTACAGTAAGCGGGGACGATAAGGTATAGAACCTCTGTATCAGCCAATACAGCACGACACAAGCTCCCTCGTTGTAGCAACCCACCAAGTCCTCTACAAGAGGAAGGTGTCCCAAAACTGGGCTGACATCTTGTAGAAGCATGTAATCAGTTTGGCAGGACATTGATTGGCGGAGATGTGCTCTAATGGATTGTAGAGTCTGGTATATCTCATTTACCATGTTGTACTTGCTCCTAAAAAACTTCACAAAATTCGGGTTTATTTCGGACACCTCCCTCAAGTTTTTTTGAAAGTACATTATGGTTTATCTGGGTGGGGTAACATTTGGTGACCTGAGGTAGGGAATGGAGAGCGTTTGACAATGGTTTTTCCCACCATTTGAGTACTTGGTAACCAAGGAAGAGGATGGAGATGAGATGACATGGGAAATGGAAGGCAACTTAACTTTTTTTGATGAAATGTTTTGAAATTTTTTTAACCTTGGAAATACCGAGTTACCGCAGTCACTAATAGGGTGCAGAAGTTCCCCAAGGAGTTGTCTTGTCAAAAGAAGCACAAAGTCTGGCTAATGGTACAAGATAATCACTGGTGGTACATTTGATTTTGTATTTGGTTTAATTAAATGTACCATTGTATGTATTGTTTTAATTTTTACCTTCAGTTACTGTGGTGAATGTTCACCCTGTTACAGGCTACGTGGCCTAGGTCCAGTACTATGAGACAGAGCTGTCGTTTCAAAAGAAACACACATTCGTTCCAGTGGAACAATTTATAGTCACAAACATACAGGAACACTTAACGTAATGGTACACTTTTTGTACCACTGGAAGTAACGGAACTAACACAAAGTAGTTGGGAGTGAACTTAACGCATGTTGATAGTTGCGAGTATAAGAGGGGGGCAAGTATTAGTTCATGGCTAGTTTCCTTTCCTTGGAGTAACAGAAATTGCGAAAAAAAAGGGGTAGCCAAAGGAATAAGAGAGTGGTGGCTGATAAGGGAGTGGTTGGTGATAAGACCCCAAGGCGCCTTATGAAGCAGTTAGAATTCATGAAAAAAATGGGTATCACGACGCAAATGGTGTTGTTCGAGACTTTTACCTCCCAAAAGAGGTAAAGAAATGATGTTCGCCCACCAATCAGCCACAATTGCTCGTGGAGGGCTTGAAAATCCCATCACTGGGATAGATTTCCATATGGAGTACCCTTTCCTAACTCCTTTTAAAGTAGGAGGTCCCGGGTACTTTCGGATGGAAGCATTATGTTTCATGCACTATGTTGTTGATGCTTACAAGATCGCTATAAGTGTGAATCTTCGTGAGTTCTTGGAAAACATGATCTTTTGGATATGATATCCATACTATTGCAGACACTTGATAAAATTTTGGGAGCTTTTCCTCCCTATGTATGATTGGCATCAAAATGTTGAGTACATGCTCAATAACCACTGTGAGGAAGGTGATAAATTTGGTTTTCTAATACTTGGTCACGATTTCACGTCGGACTACGACAAAGATTTGATTCACGTCACGATAGAGTGGCTGAATTTCTCTCTAGAGGATCCTTTTGACATGATCCATACGAGCGAAGAACAATGTATTTTAGAAACAAGATGTTGGCTGAAACGGGTACGATGAGATGCAACACTTAGATCTTATCACAAGGGAGCCATTTCAGTACAATAACTACCCATCTTGGTATGTGCGTCATTTGACCGAGGCGAAGGATAGGTTCGAGAACAAGTCCAATCTTGATTCCGGTGACTTTTGGGATGGTTATGAGCCTGATTATGGTGACCCATATGGGGATCCGTGGGAAGGGTACCATGATTTTGTGTTCGACTAGTTACGTAGTGTTGTGTTGTATTTTCTTTGTTAGTTGCATGTACGCATTACCTTTATTAGTCTTAGTATGTATTACGTACCACTGGCCAGTTAAATGGTATACCATTCTCATTACCACGGTACGTTTTACTATGTTTTATGTACCACTGGCCTGTTTAATGGTACTCGGTTATGTTTCTTGTTATCAAAAAGTACTTGGGTGTTCTTTTCAAGACTCATCGTCTAATGTACCACCATTGTATTAGGTGGTACATTCACAACACTAAATCCTATTATTAGTTGGCTATAATTTTGTTCACTGTGGTACACAGACTTTTTTGTTAGTACCAGTGCAAATGTGTTGTTTTCACATGAAATTGAACCAGTTGAACTACATAGATCTGCATATGGAATTTTAGCATACAAAAGTGCAAACAATGTTGTGTGTGTTGTTCTGAACTGTAAAACATATTATTATATACAAGTTAAACACAAATTTAACAAATCATATACTGCAAGTAAAAAAAAAGAAATGTCATTAAACAAATCATATATATCCTACATCCTGACTAGACCATGTAATAATTTAGAATATTATGTGTATTGTTTTGAACTACTTGATAATTAAACTTACCTATATTAATTTGTGTAGTATCAAAGGCAAATATTCAGCACATATAAATAGAACAATGGCAATAAAAGTTTAGAACAATATGGAATTGAACTACTTGAACTACATAGATTTGCATATGGAGTTTCAGCATACGAGAGCGCAAACAATATTTTGATAATTAATATTCAACTACACGACTAGTTGAACGACTTACATTACTATTTAAATTAAACGACAACGGCAATTACAAGTTAATATTGAACTACGCCACTAGTTGAACTAGTGAAGTGAAGTGTTTGGCCGAGAAAGTTATTGTGTTTAGGCGCCAATATTTCACCGTGGGCCCCATTTTATATAAAGTGTGAATTTGTAAAGACGATTTGCTTGTGATCATATAAATTGTACCCTATGCTGTATAAACTATGTACCACTCTGTGTACAATGATACATTAATGACATGAAAAGGTACCACTGTACTAAGGCCTTTTATAAATTTCATTGTCATTAGGTAACATCGAAAGGATGGTAAGTGTTAAGTCCAATTTCATAAGGCGGACTACATAGAACAACACTCTTCATTAAAGGGTTTAATTAGTTAAATCATTTAACAATCGATAACGAGTAAGGACTTGAACAAACCAAGCAAAAGCTCAATGACTCAAACAACGAATTACAACAGATAGACGTATATATTGTATTAAAAGGTAATTGAATTCATTAATGAGGTGAATATCCCAAAGGTTGTGATTACAAATTAAAGGTACACGTAAGGGTTGTCATTACGAAATAATTAAAAGATTACGAATTAGTTAGCCAGGTAAACCGTAGTATTCATACATGTAGGTCTTACTAACAAAATATTAGTGAAGCAACAAAATGTCATTAAATAATGTTCTACAATGTCCTACTATCAACGTAAGTGTCCCAAAGGCTGTGATTAACAAATCATTGAAAGATTAGGAATTACTTAATGAGGTCACTCTAGTAATTAGTTATTTGTGACCAAAGATATTAGTGAAACCTAATAAGAAGGATATTAGTGATACAAAAATTGTGATTAATCAATGTCCTCCTATGTAGGTTTTGTACCACCTTGAACAAGAAACATGCCTTTGCCTTTTCAGTGGTTCGTTTTATACGGTCATATGTACCACCCTGACTACAGTGGAACCCTAATTGTCTTAGTGGTACCCTCGATCAGATGACAACGTCTACTCTGACCTTGAAACCTTAGATATGCTGAAAATGTACCACCCTCATTACAGTGGAACTCTGCGAATCATATGGTATACTATTATAGAAACATATTCATGTAAACACCTGTATTTTCAACACATGAAGATAACTGACCAATGGTACAGTTCATGAACGATAAGTGTACCACTGCAAGATGTTTTGACAACAAATACAACAAATACATATTAATGCATTAATAAACCAGTTGAATCGATTACATTACAAGTGATAAGAACATGATGTACCAGGAGTACCTAGTACACTTGCAAAAAAACCACCAGAATTTGTTCCCCTAACACAAGTGAAGTACCCTAAGGAACCATCCACATCCCTCATTTGAATCCCTCCAACCGATCGTACATAGTCATTCGTTGATAATGACATATTGTTCTGTGCCGCCGCAGCTTGCTTCTTTGCTGCATTTTTCGCCCTAGCAGCCTTTTCTTTTCCCTTTTTCACTGTATAAGATGGATACCTCACATTGGTTGTACGATGGGCCTTCTTCTTGGGCAGCGGTGGATCCTTAATCACTGCTGGAACGGATCCATCAAAACTCCCCACAAAGGCACTAACTGGTGTAGGGATTATATTTGGCAACCTAGATGCATGTGTGGCTGGTGTATTTGTATAACTAGGCCCCTTGTTCAAAGCCATAGAAGAAGGCGTCCGAACAACACAATGTACGCCATCATCCTCACCTTCGTTTTCATTATCCTTAGCTGCCTGTTCCTGTTTTTTGGCAACCATTGCCAACACTTCATCGACTCTAAGGTCCATCAATTGCAACAACTCTGCCACAGCCTCAACACCCTCCTTGCAAGCTGAAGCCTTTGAGAAAATTGGTTCATACATCCTCATCAATTTGTGATATTGCCTGGCTTCATTGGTTTTAAGTGGATTATGGTAAGCTACTTTCACTCGTGTGTGTTTCCTTTGAATATCCTTCCTCCAACGACGTAGAATATATTTCTCAAGAACAATGGAAACACCACAATGATCATACACAAAGATCATACGTCGACAAATGATTCTGCGGCACTCAAAGTGTTTACATTCACAACTAGCTTCATATGTATTACTGTCATAGCACACCCTGTAGCATCTCCGAATCTTAGTTACAGATTCTTTCTTTGCATATTTTGGCTTGATCCACACTCGGTCCTCAATAACAAACTCAACTTGGTTCTCACCAACTTCATAGCCATCTAGGTGATGCACGTACAACATCCTCTTGCACTCCCGCTGAACTTCTTTGAATTTGGCGTCCGTATAACACTTCTAGAACACTTCCTCTGCTGGGAAATCGGTAGCTAAATGCCTCATGCACCGTAGTGTGTTGGAGTCCACAATTCTTTCTGAATCGGCCCTTATCTGCATTGCATCGCAATATCGAAGCACAAATTCAGACAACGTTGTATGCTTGTCAACATAACCTTTGAAGAAGTGATTGAAACTTTCCAAACGTTGGGTCGTTTTCATCCCGACCCAGAATAAATGCTTCAAATACGCTGGGATACACATGTGTCTTTCCTCATAAATCCCTACATTTCAAATAATTGCAATTAATGGCTTATCTAAAAACATACAAAACCTCATACACCTGGACTCCTATGAATGGTACATTCACTATCTCAGAAATGTGTCATAGATAAGAAACTTGCGGAAAAAAAAAACATTCAGTGGTACAAAAGTCTACCACTAAACCTGCTCCTACTCTAAATTAGAACTGAAACAGCTTCCAGTCCCCTGCACACAAACAGTTACACCTCTGCATATTCTAACATAAATCAGTAACAATCACAAAAAAAAAAAATGAAGATATGGAAGTGCAATACCTTCAAGCCAACTGTTATCTCATAGTTTGTAATAATCGACTGCGTCCACCCAACGATCTACAAATTCATCAGCATCTAAACTACCATAAATGATATTTTCAAACTTGTCCTTTACAGCTTCATAGTCCTCATGCTTACCCACATACCTCCTAAACTTCTGAAGTATGTGCCATATCCACCACCCATGGCAACTCTCAGGCATAGTCAAGTTTACAGCTTTCCTAATCGTCGGATCTTGATCCGTTAGGATTGAGATAGGAGCTTTACCCCCCATGCAATGTAGCCAAGTCCTCAACACCCACTCATAGGTCTCCGCTGTCTCCCGAGAGATCAATGCACACCCAAACAAAATACTCTGCCCATGATGGTTCACACTGATAAACACAACAAAGGGAAGGTGAAATTTGTTTGCAAATATGTACTATCAAAACACACAACATCTCCAAACTCCTCATATGCAGCTCTACTCCTCGCGTTTACCCACACTACATCTTGTAATGTCCCGTCCTTCCCAAACTGACATAGATGGAAAAAATTCTAATTGTCGGCACTCATTTTGTTGAAGTACTCTATCATGCCATTTAAATCACCCTCAGTAAGCTCAAGTCTGGTTTTCTGAGCCACTGCATTCTCCAAGTCTCTTTACGTAAATGTCATCACCTCCACTCCATTACGCTCCCAAGCATAACAACTGTACATTTTGGATACCTTCACCTTAAACTTCTTCGTCGTATGCACCTGCTTGACTAAGTGATTGTTTTTCACCATTAACTCGTGCTTCCGGTACATCCTACATCCTTGACTTTCCCAGAGTATCAATATGACCTTTGTGCTCCAAATTCAGCCTTCAAACAACCCAGTTCCCTTCCTCATTAACACTGGCATATAACTCCACAAGACACCCGCACTTTTAAGTCTTTCACTAGTAGAAAAAACTAAATAGGCACCCCCCTATAGCACCGGTTCTTGAAAACCGGTGCCAACATTAATGGGCAGGAATGGGAAATTCATAGTTGGCACCGGTTCTCACCTAAACCGGTGCCAAAAAAAAAATTAATGAAATCAGAGGAGTTAGCACCGGTTCCACTAAAACCGGTGCCAACCTTAGTTCTTAGCACCGGTTTGAACCGGTGCCAAATTTAAAAAAAAAAAAACCGGTTTTCAACGTTCTTCTTCTTCAATACTTTCAATTCAATTCTACTTTCATATTCTGAAATTCCCACGACGTGCGCATTCCCTCTTCCCATACGCTTACTCCATTGAAGCTTCTGCCTCCGCACGCACGCAGCATTCCTTTCTGGGCTTCGTTCTTCTCTTCAGTTCGCCATATCCTCCTCCCTCCATTGAAGCAGCTTCGACCTAAGGTAAGTAATAACGCCTCTCCTCCATTCACTTAGCTTCTCCATGTATTGCATTAAAACCATTGTTGGGTAATTTGAGGAATTGGTCTTTAGTTTAATAATTGTAAGTTTCTTGTAATTGCTAGGGTTTATCAATTGCTACTTAATTACTCCATTAAACGCGCAAGGCTCCCCCTCCATTAAACGCACAAGGCTGCCCCTCCACAAATGTAAGTCCTTATTAGTTGTTGTTGCTGTTTGGTGGTTTTTTTAGTTTAGCTTAGTAGCGTACCTAGGGGTGTTGTGGTGCTTGGAATTCTTTTTATGTGTAGTTAACTAGTTATCATTTCCAAACTTTGGTATTATGTAAGCGGTAAGTATTTTGAATCAGTTTGTATACTAAAAGAAAGCACATATATTGCAATGGTTGATAAGTTTGCACTTTGTACAGTCCTACTTATAAGAATATGAATAAAGAGAAAGAATCCTAAAGTGGTGCTCACTGAGTTCAATGTTGTATATTTGCTCTACAATTCTATAGGAGTATAGGGAGTCACAAATTACACTAATTAAAAGAGGATTCAATCCTAGGTCTTTGCTACCCCCCTCCTTGCCCTTGAGACTTCACTAGGCTGCAACATGTTCGTTCAAAAACATTTTATCTATTTAAAATTACTAGCAATGCTCCTTTCAACTTTCAATATATTTAATTTGCTGTTTGGTGCTTTTTAATTATGAGTTGCTTCTCACTATATATGGATTTTAGGCTAAGAAATGGGTGTCAAGGGCTTCTAGGGTAAGATCATCAGTTTGGAGAGTGGGCGGAAAGCATCCTGGTATCTTACTTTGATTGTCCTTGTTCTTGTTCACTAATATCATTCTTATCTTTTCCCTTAATCTGGTTTTTAGTTTGTGTTCTATATAGGCTATAATGAAAAAGATTCAGAGGAATTTTTGGGCGAAGCATTGACCTTGGCATTGACCTTCTAGTGGAGAGTGTTGAGACTTTATAGGTACTCAGGTATAGATATAACTTTATGTGCTATATATAAGTTCTTGTTTGCACACTTTTGTGGAGATGGTGTATGATATAACTTTAGTGCAACTTCTATCATGATGTGTGATTAATCCATTGTTTTTTTAATTGATTGAATGCATCATCATATGCCTAGATACCCATTCAAGGCTTTCTCATTAGGAGAAAGTCCTGAATAGTCCCCGGTTGGGACTGTTCTTGAACGTTTACTCTCACTTAGGTGGTGAATGTATGTCTTTTTTTTCGATTTTAAGGAACATCTTGGCTTACCATTTCCTCGATCACCATGTTCTCTGGGTACATATGTGGGTAAGTAATTACCTACTTCGTGTACTTGGAGAACTGGGGGGAAATGCTGCCGGATTTTCCTTAAAATTGGAAAGTTGACATACATTCACTAGTGAGAGTAAACGCTCAAGGATGGGTTAGGTTGGAGTGATAAGGACCCTTTGGAAGTATATATGCATTTTTGTATCTATATGAATGTTATATGCATGGTGTTTGTTTGAATTTGGTTTACGTATATAATAGATGTAGCAATTATACATTATTCGTAATATGTTGCCATATGTTTAGACACAATTTACTTAATGGAGAAGGATCGTGGCTGGATGTATGGTAGACGTGATACATTGGAATTCTTTGATGGGGTTCAAGAGTTTACGAGAGGGCTTCATCTTATCAGCGCGGAATGGGTGTCGATTGGCTCTATTGTCCTTGTGTTGATTGTAATAATGTGAAGGTGGTCAATAGTGTTGATATCATTAGAGATCATGTAATTTGTCGTGGGTTTAGGGTTAAATACCATGTGTGGATTTGGCACGGTGAAGAAGGAGAGTACAGTGGGGATGTTATTGGGAATGATATGCATGATGATAGAAGCAATGACATTTGTGTGGACGAGGAGTACAAGAATAATGATGAACATATTGTTGATAATGGTGTTGAGGATGGATTTGAGGATGATCATGTGGATGAGGTCGAGGATGAAGAGGTGGATGAGATGATGCGTGGTTTTGAAGGTAACGTGTTTGAGTCATTATCGGAGGCTTCTAAAAAGCCTTTGTATCCTGGGTGCAAAAAATACTCCAAACTATCAGCCGTGCTAACACTTTTTAACATTAAGTCGAAGCATGGGTGGACGGACAATAGTTTTACTTCTTTGTTGACCGCGTTAAGTGAGATGTTGCCCGACGGGAATGAAATTCCTAAGTCTTACTATTACGCAAAGAAGCTCATGTGTCCATTTGGTTTGGAGTATAAGAAGATATATGCATGTCCTAATGATTGTATTCTTTATCGAAATGAATATGAAAAATTGGAGGAGTGTCCACGATGTAAGAAGTCGCGCTACAAGCGCATGAGTTGCAATGCTGGTACGAAGGGACCGCCTGCTAAGGTGTTGTGGTATCTTCCCATTATTCCAAGGTTTAAGCGTCTGTTCTCTTTACCACAAGACGCTAAAAACTTTAGGTGGCATGCTTGGGGAAGAAAAGAAAAACAGAATGCTAAAGCACCCAGCCGACTCCCCGCAATGGAAGAACATTGATATGAAGTTTGGGGAATTTGGTGATGAAGTCAGAAATTTAAGGCTTGGTTTGTGCACGGACGGGATGAATCCATTTGGCACTCTTAGTACCCAGCACAGCACATGGCCGGTACTTTTAGTGATCTACAATTTGCCTCCTTGGTTGTGCATGAAACGAAAATACGTAATGCTTTCACTTTTGATATCGGGGCCAAGGCAACCAGGAAACGACATAGATGTTTATCTTGCGCCACTTGTTGATGATTTGAGAAAGATGTGGGACGAAGGGGTTTCCGTGTTTGATGCTCATAAGAATGAGATGTTCACATTACGTGCAGCTCTTATGTGGACCGTTAATGATTTTCTTGCATATGGCAACTTGTCTGGGTATAAGAACAAAGGGAAAAAAGCATGCCCCATTTGTATTGATGATATGCCAAGCAGACGCCTTGATCATTCTCACAAAGAGGTGTATTTGCGGACCAGAAGGTTGCTCAGGCGCAATCACTCGTACTGTAGGCAGAAAAAGGCTTTAGATGGGACAGCGGAAGAGGGGACTGCGCCTAGGCCGTTGACTAGTGAGGAGGTTTACGCTCGAGTTAAGGGTGTACGAACAGTCTTTGGGAAATCAGAAAAAGCGGCGGAGTCAACTGCTCTCTTTAAAAGAGAATCAATTTATTGGTTGCTCCCGTACTAGAAAGAACATGATGTTAGGCACTGTCTTGATGTGATGCATATAGAGAAGAATGCAAGGGAAAGGGAAAGGCCACGGATGCGTCGAAGAAGAAAAATGAGGGAAAAGCCAAGGAGGGCAAGGCCTATTTACCTCCGGATTGCTACACATTGTCAAGGGTAGAAAAACGGATGTTTTGTGCATGTCTGTATGGCATTAAGGTTCCATCAGGGTACGCATCTAAAATGAATAGATTTGTATCCTTAAATGGAGAATTGAAGCTGACAAGTATGAAATCCCATGATTGTCATGTTCTGATGCAAGTTTTCCTACCAATTACAATACGTGGTATTTTACCAAAGCACGTGAGGGAAGCTATTACAAGCCTCTGTTCGTTTTTCAATACAATATGCAGCAAAGTGCTTGATCCTTGTACACTTGATGCTTTACAGGCGGATGTGGTCGTGACTTTATGCAAATTTGAGATGTACTTCCCACCCTCGTTTTTTGACATAATGGTGCATTTGATTCTTCATTTGGTGCGTGAGATTAAGTTATGCGGTCCAGTGTTCATGCGGTGGTGCTATCCTTTTGAAAGACATATGGGTACGTTGCAAGATAAAGCGAGGAATCGGGCTCACACGGAAGGAAGTATAATTCAAGGGACCGTGGCTGAGGAGGTCGGTAATTTTGTGGC